CAGTAACAGAGCAAAAAGGTATCAAAAAATGAGGGGGGGGGGAATAAACGCCATATTGACAATGCGTAGTGCAATACTGTCTGCAATACTGTTTTCCTTCTTAACTTAGTTTGTAACCCCATTCCTGCATTTCTAATGAACAACCATAAATGTATCACTTAGTACATCACATGAGAAGTAAGTAACACATTGATGAACAATCAAGAACTCACTTCCGCTGCTCTCCGTTCTTCCTGCTCCTGGGAATGTTTCTCTCTCATTTGTGCTAACATTTTCACTCTCTTCTCCTGTAATTCCCTCTCCTGGTCTTTCTTCTGCAATTCATGAATCTGTCGTTGTTGCTCCTCGGTAAGTACACTCTGCATTCGTTTCATGTCCATTATTTGTAATCTCTGTGATTCCAAGAACTGATCATTTGCCATCTGCCAAGTCTGTTTCAGATCATTGTGTTCTCGCTTTTCTTGCTCAAGTAGTTTACAAACTGTGAGAGACATAAGAAGTAATCATGTATTAACACAGATATCATGAAATGTTCTCTTGATGATTTTCAGCATAAAAATGGCCACCATTTGGCCATCATGAAACAAATTGATGTGCATATGTACAGACGTACACACAGAGGTCTCATTAAAAATACATTAAAAAATGGCAAAAAAAAAGAAGTAAAGAATTAAACCAACTAACCATCGTGTAATTCAGATCTAAGTTTATCTGCTTCACCCTGCAGTACATTCTTCTGTGTATTTAGCACAGCAACATACATTTCTAAGTCAGTACGGGAAGCTTTCTCTGCCTCTAAATAGTGGTTCAACTCCCTCACCTGTTGAACAAAATACACCAGTACAACAGGGCTAGTTAAACAATAGTAAAGACAAACCTACTGTATAGGATATGCTTTTGTATGACAAGCAGAATACACAGACATTATACATAAATTTAATTTGTATTATAATATCTCAATGTGTTGGGAAATACATGCTGCTGTGCACTTGAGAACTAAAAAATCAACCGTGTGGTCAGTTCATTGGAAGTCATCAACACTTCAGGCAAATGGTATGCAAAATCACAGGTAATTTTGTGAATAAATGACCCAGACTTCTTAACCTGTACGAAAAAATCCATTACTTTTTATTTAAACAAATGTGAGAAAATGCTGGATAATGTTGATTCAAGTACCTACAATATTGTACATGAATTGTCCCCAAAGCACTATAGTAGGATATACCATCATGTTTAATTCAGTGACACTATGGTACCTATTCGTCGCTTGTTTTATGCCTGAAACCTGAATTGTTTCTATTGTAGAATGCCATAGCCCTGGAACATGCATACATGTACTACATATACTGAGACGCACAGATGCACATTGAGCCGATCGTAAGTAAATGTTTAAAGTTGACGTATAAATATCGTGAAGTGCTTTATTATATTTTTTTGATGTTATTATCCTATTATTTTTAAGTCACAAACTTTGCAACACAGGAAGTATTGCATGACTACTTGTTACCGAATCAAACTAGAAAATTTTATCCATGTTCAGGGCAGAGGAAATGAGTAATACTCTATTGTCTAATAATGCGAAGCAATGATGATACACAATGCCCAAATATGGGCAATGGCGTGTTACATGTACAATAGACAAATTAACATATTGGTACTACAATTGTAAGTAAAAAAAAACATATAATTACTAATACCCTCTCATCCAAATCTTCCTTATTACTGGAAGATAATTTCTCTGGACTGCTAACAGTACTGGAACCCGAGTCCAAGTTTAATAAACTGCCAACAGGACTGGTATTACTGGCCTGCAAAACAAGAATGAATATTTTGATATATGTCCTGTATCGCATATACACATGTATGGAATGATTATTGACTAGTAAAAACTATTAAACTGTGAAAGCTTTTTATTAATCTCATGTTACTAACAATGAAAAATATCCATGGATGTTGGACTATGATGAAATCTGTTTTCATAACTGTTACAATATAATTTTAACTTTTAAAAAATTTAAAACTAATAATTGCTTCATTAAAAGTAATTAAAAATGTTGTTTTCACTGATACATGAGTCATTGATAAACTGATACTATGTGTGTATATTTAGTTATACCTGTCTAAACTTAACCAGCCGTAGATGGTTTGTCTAATTTGTGTGCAGTTTAGACAAGTGATATTGTAAGGGTCAAGGGTTACAAATACCATTTGAATGTCTTTTCCCACCATAATTTTGTACCCACATTTAGCACGTTTTTATGTAATTTTCTAAAACGTCTTTGTTAATTTTAGACTGAATAGACATCATTTTACATTGGTTACAAATATTACTGGTATTAAAATATTTTTGGAAAAAAAACAAATTAGGTGGGTTTTGAATGGTGATAACAGTTGGCTTTAGTTAATCATGACAAAGTATGTGTTAGCTGTACTCATACAATGTGGCCAGGCAAAACACAATCAATATATATTTTTTTTAGTAATATCTCAACAACATGAGTTTTGGAGTTTGATTACAATCTGGACAATACCTTAGTTTCCAACAGACTCAGCTGTGATTCCCTAAGCTGTGATTGCGATTCCTTCAACTTATACTTCAAGGATTCAATCTCTTTCTCCATGGGCATCACGATAGCACGCAATAACTCAGCATCTTTCTGTGCCTGCAGCAACAATTCAACGGTGAGACAGTGATAATAAAACGAAAATTGGAAGCTTTCAAAAAACAAATTAATTTATCTACATGTAAAAATAACTAGCCTAGTTCTCTATTTCTAAATTTATCTAAGTCACAAGACAGCTTCATTAGAGCTGATGCCAAGTGGTGCACTAACATCTTTCATAGCAATAAGTCTGGTAAAATTGACACAAATCGTAAACTATTAAATATGAAAATCAAAGAAAGCTTAAATATAATTCAAAATTACTTGTACTTTGATATTGATGGAAAAGCTGAAAACTAATTATGCAAATCATAAAATTAATATGAACAGTTTTGAGTGTAAAACTAATGAGGTCTGCGCAATGTAACAGAAAATCTATGTACCAAGTTTTATTGAAATGTGATTATATAGAACCAAAAAATTATAAATTATTATGCAAATTAGGAATTAATATGAACAGATTTTTATCCCAAAATAACTAGGTTTGTACATTGTCCTAGAGCATCTTTGTACTGAGTTTCATTTAAATGGAATAATTAGTACTTTAGATATCAGTGTGAAAGCTTAAAATTGGTTAATTATGCAAATTAGGTAATTAATATGTACAGATTTTAACGCACAATTATTCAGGTCTGTCTATTGTCCTACAGCATCAAAGTACAAAAATTCATTTGAATGTGATGAATAGTACTTGAGACATCAGTGTGAAAGTTGAAAATTGGTTAATTATGCAAATTAGGTGGTTAATATGTATAAATAATTGGGTCTCTGCATAGTTCTAGATTCATTTAAATGTGATGATTAGTACTTTAAATATCAGTAGAAAAGCTGAAAATTAATTATGCAAATTAGGTAATTAATATGCACAATTATTTACCCTGAAACTAATCAGGTCTCTGCATAGTTCTAAAGGATCTATGTACCAAGTTTCATTGAAATGTGATGATTAGTACTTGAGATATCAGTGGAAAAACCAAAAATTGACGAATCATTATGCGAATTAGGTCATTAGTATGCACGGATTTTTACCAAAAAATAATCAAATCTGCGCATAAGTTCAGAGCATCTATGTACCAAGTTTCATCAAAATCCAATTAGTGGTTCTTTAGATATCAGTGGAACAGTCATGGAACAGCTAAAAATTAGCTAATTATCATGCAAATTAGGTAATTAATGAGCATGGATTTTTACCAAAACCTAATCAAATCTGCGCATTGGCCCAAAGCATCTATGCACCAAGTTTCATCAAAAAACGATGTATGGTTCTTGAGATAGCAGTGGAACAGTCGGACACACATACACACACACACATACATACATACAGACACACCAACTGCAAAGACTCCCATTATGTGCTAATTTTAAGATTTTGCGAAATTGGTTGACTATGGTCATATTTACCTTTTTCATACTCATTTCAAGGTTTTCTGCCTTGTCATGTGCACCAGCAACACTTCTTCTAATTGCTTGAGAAACACTAGACAAAACACTGCAAAGACAGACAGACAAACATAGTAGAATTTTGAAATATAAGACTCACTGTCTCACTTAATTAATAATAACGATTGGTGCAAAACAGGGAAATGTAAGTTGCCTTTATTCTCATAAAAGCCATTGGTCCTAATTTAGCCTTCACTGTGGTCCTGAAAATTATCTGATTCATGAGAGAATGTCAGGAAACTGTATATCACTATAATATGACTCCCTCTTCCTGGAAATTGAAAACTTCGTTATTATCACCAGTTGGTCATCCACAAGAATGTACAATGTTTTGGCCCCAGATGTTCCAGCAAAAACTTTTTTTCAATCACCTGTGTTTTTTCATGCAAATGTGAGAAGTTTTAGTCATGGGAGTTTTGTACATTACAGGCTCGACATATTTTATTGTAAGATTCGTTAGAAATATGCCGTATTTATTTTCCAGTAATTTGTATGTTACAAGTACAACATCAATATTTATATAAGTATATTTATTTACTTATATCTCATATGTAATTTAGAAAATGATCGTAAATGATTTAAAAGGATATAAAATAAATCAAATAATCAGAGTTGTTCATGTACAGTTTTGTTAACAAAAAAAACAAACAAAACATCTGAAGCCGAAACATCATAGCTGCTTTGTATCATTACATTTTAATGGACACAAAATATTATTTTATATTTGTGACCATATCACTAAGTTTTAGTATGCCGTCATTTTGTGGTAGTAGAAAAAGAACTTTTGAACGTTTCATAGTTGTCATCACTCTGTGCATTCCTGGGTACCATAATAAATTGGTTGTACTAAGATGTACATTGCTTGGCAAAGTACACAACTTACCTTTCCTTGTCAGACTGGGATGCTGTTGCTGGAGCGGCACCAGATGTTAGTTCGGCAATTCTGTTGTTTAACTCTTGAACTTCTTGTGATAAGTCAGCATTGAGTGAAATCAACTTCATTCTCTCCTGCTGGTAACTAGCAGCAGTCTGATCCCTGGACTGATTCATAGCCTCTGAAAAACGAAAATACAAACGAGTTTAAAGCCAAAATAGGCAATAATACAGAATTATGCAATTTCACACAGAAATATGTTTACATCACTAATCTTTTGCTTTGAGAATGTTCCATGCTTAGACCAAAAAAAATGAAGCTTTGCTTCTTGTCCTAGGGCAAACTGAAAAATAGGCCAATGGCCTGTTGCTCAACGGCTATAATAATTGTACAAAAGATTAGTGCTGTATATGCCACAACTTTTCGTTTAAATTTGTACTTTTAAATGAAATATCGCCAAACAACCACACAAAGTTGTCAATGGAATAATAAACACATGTATGCCCAACACCAAAGCATTGGAAATAGTGGTTAGTTGAAATTCCATTTTTAACCAAAAATGACAAAAATATTTGCCAAAATTAGAGAATTAAAGATATGGCCATGGGATGAACAAATCTAGTAGATGTCAACACACCAAGTATCAAAGCATTCAGGCTACTGGTTTTAAAGAAGAAGTCGAAAATAGAATTTTTGACCAAAAATTATCATTTCAAAATAGTCTGAACTGAAATCAGGTCGGGTCGTAACAGCCATTTTATTTTCATTATTTTCGCCTTAAGTTTCTACCTTTCTACTTTCTACTGTGGAAGGAATTCAGTCGATTTAACAGGAGAATCGACCTGCCCACACAGACGGAAACAATTCGACTGACCGACATAGGAACGCACAGACTTATTCATAAACAAAGTTATTCCAACACCATACTATAGATGGCACTCTCACTATAGACCGCCACAGTAGAGTTTTGGGAGGCTAATTTGCATAATTTTTGGCAGATCGACTTCTCATGAACAAATTACCATCTACACTCATCAAGGCATCCACACACCAAAAATCGAGTCAAATGGTTCGGCGGTTTTTGAGAAGAAGTCGTGCACAGACAGACAGATAGATAGACGGACGACAGACGCAGGACAGAAACCCATCTCATAGGCTCAGCGGACCTATGGTCTGTTGAGCCAAAAATGATCAGGAGGAACGGTTTAAATTTTTTTTTATGTATTAAGAATATTCAATCCCACCACAACGATAAGTTATATGTTCATTGTTTATCATTTAAGCATTTAGCTTTTGAATACATGCGTAATAGGTTTATTCTCATCGACAAAATATATCCTTTGAAACAGAAAACAAACATTAAAAATGTGTGACGCACAAGATTGAAGCTGACACATGTGATGACAAACTTTTTTTGGCTTTAGAAACACTATCAGTAATGTAAGGATACAGATCAAAAGTGACAATAAAACTTTCTAATGCATTAAAAATAAAAAATTTCTAATATACTTATAGACCCAACTGTTTTAACAACATCTCACCAATTTCATCAAAAACAAAAATGAATACCATATTTATTTTATTCTATCACAACAACATTTGTATGTGATTATTAAAAATTATAATAATGACGTCAAATTGTACAGAGATATTTTTTGAGAATTAGGTACCGGTATTATTACGCGAATTGAACGATTTAGCAAATGAATCAAGAAAATTCATAGACCCTCGCCAGCCGAACGGCATCAGACCTTACTAACGCCTGACAGAAAAGTGTATGTCTCGTCGGCAAGATCAATAAGCGAATTCGCAAAGTTCACGCCTTCCTGCAATGAGTTCAATGAATATTCATTTTGGTGGTCATGGTAACACTGTCCATCAAAGCAGTGTTTTCAACAAGATGATAAACATTGGGCAGAAATAAACTCTTCCGTGAATGGTTACTCTTTAATGGCTGTCACTATCTAACGCTCCTGCAATTTAATTGGTACAGACGAAAAATCGTCAGGGGAAGTGAAAAACTACATCATTCTGTCAGGCATGTGTTGGGTTTGGAGCACAGTGGAGCGTGCAACTCACGCGATTTCGTCAGGCTAGAAAATACATAGCATTAAGAATTACACTGCTGTCTTATGCAACTCAGTGTCAGTGACTTTCACAATTTTTTTTTTTTTATAAATGCTGTAAAATTATCAAATTGTGAAAATTAAACGGTTTACAATACATGTATTTAGAACACTATGACATCCCATAATACTGTACACTATCAACACTGAAAGGTTTGAATGTTTCAGAACAAGGCAGTGATAACGAAGGAACAACTTGTGGAAAAACACCTTGACCAGAAAGTAAGACATAAAATACCTTTCATCATGAGCTGCAAAGACGCTAATTCCTCCTGAAATCGTCTCTTGTTTTCTTCAAATTCTTCTTGTTTGGAAAGTAATGATACTTTCGCAACTGTTCTAACATCTTCTAGCTCAATTTTGATTCTCTGTACTTCTTCTTGCAAGTGCTCAGATTCCTTTTTAAGCTCCTCTGGGAAAAAGATGAAGAAATTCATTTAACACAGAATTACGAAGTTAACTGGAGCTAAAAAAATAAATACTAGTATATTATTAAAAATAGTTATAAATCTAACTGTTTTCATCTGAAATCAGACTCATTCAAATCCAAACAAAAAAATTACTGGCTCAGCTGGTATTACCCTGTCATGTGATTGGTTGACACTCTCTAATTGTACCACCAAATCAATGATGTCACTGCACAAAGCTGCTATTTATAACAGACATCAGTGTTGATAAATATTTAGGTTTATAAAAATATATAAAATGCTTTGTTGACAATATTTTGATCTTTATAAATAAAAGAATCATATTCTTAGGTGGCTAGTAAGTTATTAATGACAAGAAAAGGAGAAGGCCAAACAGGTTGTAGCCGTCCACTAAGGAAACCAGTGTCCAGTGTAATTGCAGATAGATTTTCAGCTATTTTGTGAAGAGGATTATAACATGATTAAACTAAGTATTGTTTGTTTTTTTTGTACGTCTTTATTTGTATAGCAACAAGCAAATTTATTTCCCAACTTTCATTTTTATTCATGACCAAGTGACCTACAGCGGAGGGCATGTATAAGGCACACCAGCCGGCGCTAACTAAGTGGGCGTTTTCTGTCATTAATCAAGTTTGTATCACATTGCATAAATGGTAAATAGTACATGTCTGAAAATCGAAATAAACTTTTAATGATTACACGTATGACCGTGTTATGATTACTGCGATACGCATTGACTTTGAGGCGTAATATCTGACAATATCCGGTTCACTCTTCACAACTTACCTTCTCTAGCAATGTATATTTCCTTAAATTTTGCCCGTTTTTGTCCAAACTCTTGTTCCAGTTGGTGTTTTTCTTTCAATAGCGTCTGTTCTCGTTGCATTAGCTCGGATACTTTGTCTCGTAAGAATTGAACATCATCTGTACACAGAGAAAAAGAGTGGCAACTTGATAGTCAAAGCATTCTAAATTATCACTAAAAGTCGGCAAAGTGAATTTTTCAACGATGACAATCGTGCTATGCAAAAATCGAACAAAGATAAATATTAAACAACGAATTATGTTACCTTGTTGATTCATGTTGTCGCTGATATTTGTAACGAATTGTTGGTTATCCATGATGTTTTTATTTTTTTGGATCAAAACATCAGAATTTATTCTACTGAATCACCAACGTCAGCCATCTTGAATTGTTACCCAGAATGCTCTACATAATGACGATAAATATAAATTTTAGCATTGAACATTAATTTCTAAAATATAAGGAAACTGTATTTTCAGTCAAATGTTCAACCATTAATCAGAAATAGCAATAGTTTGATATCTAGTGAAAAATGCAGCCTATTCAGATAGCAAAATTCAAGAGGAAATATATCACAAACAAACATTGGGGAAACCGGAAGTAAGGCGGTACGATTTGATTTGTTTACAGGCTTGTATACAGTGTTGTTTTCAGAAGGCTGTTTGAGGTTGTTTCTGCTATCTTTTTTGTGATATGCCGAAGAGAAGAGAACAAACAACTGAACCGGATGAATTTCAAGGTTTGTCCGCACAACCGGGTTTACATATATGCCGCCGGATTTCCATAATTTTATGCAATTCACAATTCCTGGCTAGTCCAGATCTCGAGTTCACTCAACAACTTCATGACCAATCAATCTCCCAGGCAGAGTTCTATTTCTACGAATATACTTTCTGTGGTCTAACCCGAACTCTGGGAAGGAGAATGCTTCATGACATGAGGATTCAAAACTCTGGAAATGTTGATGTAACGTTGATACAATTAATCTTTTTCGCGGTTCCATGCGCACAACGTATTCGTTAAATGTCAATCATATATTTATGT